GGAAATAATAGTGGCAATGCCTTTATTCAATAAAATTGGTAAATAAATGTATTATTACAATCATCATATGATTGGTCTTTATGCATACTCTAACAATGGCAAGAGGAGGTGAATCCCTAGGGTTTCTAATCATCTCTTAATGTTGGATATGCTAGGCTTCCAATTTGATCTTAGCAGACTTGGGTCTGTTATAAACTGGGTTGGTTGGATTGTTTTCGGAATGATCTTAAGCTTTTTGGGGCTATGGCAGGGAGCGATTCAACTGAAATTTGGAAAACATTGGTTTTTTTAAATAAATACATAAATAAACAAATTTTGAGTTCCCATCGACCTTTGGGTTAAGTAGGTCGAATACCTAAAAATATCCTTTAAAATAATTTTTAGAAAAATAATTTTAAAAGATAAAAATGATATGCGTTTAACCAGAAATTCGTTTTGAAAAAGGGTCAGGAGTCAATTACGCGTGGGGAAGGATTAGCACCCCCACAACTCCCGAAATTGGTACCTAAGCGATTATACGTCATCTAAATACATAAATTAGCAAATTTAAACATATATTTAAATTGTGATCTATTTTTAGAAAAATAAAAAGGTGTATTATCTTGTACAAACAATTCTAAAAAAAATACCTTTATTGTTAGTTAAGGGGGTATTTCCATAGATTCTCCATACAAAATAATATTGCCCTAATTTTTAATAAACCATATATATAATAATTGTTTTAAGAGAACTCAAATATAAAAAAGGTGTTACATTGTGTGAACAATCATTGGAAACATATTGCTCATCAGTTAAGGCATGTTTTCATGGTTTCCTTATACAAAATAATATTTCCATACATCTAATACTTATTCAAATAGGATCATACCATTTTGTACAAATAATTTGACTGAGACACACTCTTTGCTAGTTAAGGCGCATCTTCATAAATTATTCGCACAAAATAATATTTATTAATATTTTATTTTAATTTATTTTTAAAAAAATACTAATATACATATATTGATCGAACCCAATCAAAAACTAGGGTAAAAACACAACACAACACAAGTCGAATAGACCGCACAAAAGTATATAAAAAATAGAAACTTTAAAGACCAAACTGCAAACCAGCAAAGACTAGGGTAACCATTGCAAATATCGTACAAATTAGGCACTATAATAGTAAATAAACCAACATCACAATTCAGAACTAGAACAAAAAAGTTGTTAAAATTTGAGGATTAAATTGTAAAACAAACAAAAATCATGGCCATAAACAAAAACATTATGCAAGCTAGGTATTAGAATCTTAATTTAACCACCATCAAAGTTCATGATTAAAATGAAAATCATTAAAATCTAAGGATTGAATCAAACATTTACCCAAAACAAGTGTAAATAAGGGCAATGACTAAAATAGAAACAAAGTGAAACTTGAAATACAAATTAAAATAAGGGGAAATTCATTGCAGTGACCAAAATGTAAAGTTACAATACATAAGAGCTGCAGGAATGATTTTCTCATATGACCAAAACACACAAGGCCCTCCCCCTAAATGATATCGTATGGGGTAGGGAATATATACCTAATAACCAACCTAAAATGGCCTTAACTCCTTTATTTTTCTCATTTCATTCTCTCTCTCTAAAAGGAGAGAAATAAACTTTTATCTACCTTCTCGCTTCTTCTCATCGCCGAGGGAAGGCTGGTGGCCTTCGGTCACTACTCGTCAGAGTTTAGAAACTAACTCTAAAACGTTCCCCTTTCTCTTATAAAGCCAAAACCAAGCACCCCTAAACCTAAAGACACCCCCACCATCCTAGATCTACAAGAAACTTAAGGGGTTACCTTAAAAAAAGGCCAGGTGACGTTTGGCTTCCCATGTGCAATGGAGTGTGGTAATCTTCTCTGATCTCCTCTCATTTTATTTTTGTTTGATTTTTCTCTTAAAAAATCCTCTTTCTGATTCTTTTTTTTCTTTCGAAAACTCTCTCGTATTTTTTTTCTTTATTTTGTTATCCCTATTTTTTTGGTTATATTGCTATAAATCTCTGTAGATATCTTGTTGATGATTTGTTGGTTGTACATGTATATAGAGGGCCTTCCAGCTGCCATTTTATTCACACAATGGGTGTGAAATTTAAGGGTATTTAGGGAAATTCTAAGGGCACTAAACCCTAGAAATTTCCACTATAAATATCACATTATACCATCCAAAAGAAAGAGAGACAAATACCCTACCACAAAGGCTTGGAGAAAGGTGGCTACAGTTTTTTCCACCATTTCACTCTCCCCCGTCCTAGGTGTACTCCATAGCCATGCTTCACCGGAGCAGCGGCCAGGCCTTCTAGAAACGCTGGTGTGCTAGAACGGTCATGGTGGTGGTCTGATGTCACGACATAGCTCTGTTCTGGGAGTTTTTCTTCCTCTTGTTCTTTATTTATTCTCTTTTAAGGGCTTGTATTTGTTGAATATTTTTGGGATTATATTAACCACACCATGAACTATTTTATTTGGTGTTAGAAATGCTTGGATGATACTTTATTTTACTATTAATGAATGATTAAGTATGCTTTTGTTGAATGTTGGCTTGTTCATTATTTTAATCTTTTGCCTTGACATTGTAAGAGCTTTTGAAAGATTGTCTGGTGCCTTGGCAAAACATTCCTAGTCTTTGTAAGAGCTTTTGAAATATTGTCATTTTTCTAGAAGTTGATACATAATATTCAAAAGAGTTAGGTTAGATCTACATGAACAAGGAAACTGATATGCGGTGGTGAGGTTCTAATATGTGTGAGAGATAATAAGAGGGTTTTATTCACCTAAGAGGGATAAATGCTAAAGTAGATAGGCTAGCGCTACTGTTTACGATGAGGAGTATTGTCGTAGCAACAGTTTGATAAACCAGCTGCAGTTAACGTTGAGTAGTATTTTAGTAGCTATAGTTTATCAGGTTTCGTGGTAAAGATACTCTTGGAACACTGTAGTAAATCTTGTAGGGCAACATAGGCGTAGCATACTAGATCAACCTAGACATAGAATAATTCTTCACCATAGTAAATTCAACGCAAGTTCTCCGTAAGAAGTTTGATTGTGTGAGGTTTTCAATATATATTCGAAACTCAAACATTTTTAGCCTTAGCAACTTTTATATGTTTACTCTTGCATATTTTTTCTTGCCATGACAAAACTTCACTGCTCACTTCACTTCACACTTTTCTTGCCTCGGCATACATTTTCCATATGTTCAAACCATTTGCCACTGCTTATTTTTTCTTTGTGAATACCATGAGACAAGAAGCGTAGGACTAGTTAGTAACACCTAGTTCTAGCTATAGCGATCTTTACAATTTCCCCTCAATCCTGTGGAGACGATAACTCACTTACTACTATATTACTTGCATCGATTGTGTATACTTGCATAGATTTGTGTGCCATAACACACACATTTACATGCGACCATGTTTCTAGGCACCTTTTCTCATTTAAGTCTATCACAGACTAGGTCCCTCCATTACAGGTAATCCTTAACTCTTACGGCTATTAATGAAGTCGAATTTAACCATCCAAAATAGGTAGTATTGATAATCCCTTAAGTATTAGTACCAAAAATAGCTTCTATGTTATCAAAAATTATTCTAGTATCAATACTGTTATTTCTAATACCAATATTACTCTTACCAGTATCGGTACTACTATTATCAGTACCAGTATTACTATATAGTATCAATAATTGTATTGTTCATATAGTATCAGTACTCAAATTTAGAAAAATCAGAAATGGGCTCGGGAATCATTCATAAATCATCCCAAATACTCTAGTTTGATCTCAAGTCGTGTCATAAAGCTTAGGGGGGTTATTTAGGGTCATTTAGCACCATAAAAAACACAATCTTTACATCAAAAACACCATCTAAGCATGGTTCAAGAAAAAACCCCAATATGCTCAAATAGCCAAATCCCCAACAAAGCATCACATTTAGGAAAGCCATAATACAACAGAGGATTATAAATACACTACATTGATTCTAGAATTCCAAATTGAAGCTCATTTCTTATCACACTCACTCCCTTTAGGGTTTTGTTGTTCAACCCCCACTTCCTCTAGTAAAAAGGAAACCCAAGGCTTGAATCTTCAAAACAAGGTTGCTGGAAGGATTATGGACAAATTCGAAGTGTAAAATAAGCATGAAAGGACTCAAAGAACTTACTCTTAGCTATGGCACTTGGAGAGAAAAATTGGAGAGAATAAAATATAGAGAAGATGAAAGTTTTTCATCTTTTGTGGAGTCACCCAACGTCCAAGATCCCCAACAAGATCCTAACTTTAAGCCTCTTTATTAACAATGATATAATTACACTTTTGGTCCCTCATCTTTCTACTATGCAAAAAATCTCCTTTTTATGGTTAATCGGGTCCAATTTACATCCAATTAAGTTCTCACTCGACCCAAAGACGTTAATTACAAACTCCACGTGGCCCGCATACCTTTCGAGTAAACCTAAAAGTACTAATCCAAAATTTTAGATGTTACAGTTAGCTGAGGTTATGGTGCATGGGATGATTAAATTACAAGGTGTGCCTCGATCTATGGTGAGTGATTGATACAGTGTATTCTTGGGTGATCTTTGGAAGGAATTAGCGAGGTTACAAGGTACATGATGAATTCAACCTATCACCCCCAAACCGATTGATAAACTGAAGCGTTGAATAGATGTTTGGAAATGTCTCACAGGAGATGAACCAGCTACATATAGGATCGAAATTGCAATTGATAAGCTGATAGCCATAGGTGGTCTAAATTATTGCAATTGGAATGCAGTTGTATTTTAATAATAAAAGTAATCGTGTCATGAAAGTGGATAGGTGAAGTTCTTTTAATTGTTTAATAGTTGAACGTATATTCAATCTCTCATCTATTTATCATAGTATTCTCATGTACTTGGTTTAATTTTATTTATAAATAGAGTTGTCAATGATCAAATTGAAATAATGAAAAGAAGAAAAAGAAAAATATCATAGAAACCTTGCCTCTCTTCCAAATGCACGCTTGGAATTACGAGTTACATGAGATGAAGAATCGAGTTCCAATATCTCAACCACATCCACACCCCAGAGAACCCAATCTTGTGTAGCAGTTCTATGTGGAATACCATGCGTTACCGAGTTCCTCCACAGTGGTGGTCCGCCGTTGGCTCGCAGCAACTTCCCATTCTTTGCCCTGAACTTCACTTGCATCCGATCATTAATCGGCTCCCATTCGGCAAAACCATCGTTTCCGGATGTTTGCAACACTCTGTTGCCTGCCGTGCCTAGTAGATATGGTTCACCACTTGCGGTTAAGTACTTGTTGTAGATGCTCTTGAGACGGATGAGGCGGCTATTGCCTTCGACGAACTCGACCATCCAACGTGCGTGTTGGGAGGCGCCTTTCCGGCTTTGACGGACTGTTTCCTCGTCTTCGTTGGCGACTAGGTACTTGCCATGATGACTGCGGAGTCTTACAGCTTTAGCTTTGTCAAAGAACTCCATTCTATGTTCTTTAAGGTTTGATTTTGGTATTAATTAAGGAGAGATTGAGAATGGAAAGATGTGTATTGTTATTTATAATTCTTTTTTTTTAATAATTATTTTGCAAGTTGTTAGTTTTAAATTTGTTACTTCCTTTGTTTGAATGCTGTGAAATAAATTCATTTATAAAATCAATTGACTTATAAAAACAAATACAATTGGGAAAGTGGAATTATAATTTCTTTTAATATGAGTAGATTAAGGGTTTTTATTCTTACTTTTAAAAAAGGGCAAAGTACACAAATAGTTATCCGACTATAGGGCGTTGTTTTGTTGAGTCCTCCGACTATTAAAAGTTATAAAATAGTCATTCGATTATAGGGCGCTGCTTTGTTGAGTCCTTGGACTATTAAAAGTTACAAAATTGTCACCCGGCTATTTATATGTTCAAACTCGTCTTTTTCGTTAAAAAAACTGACGACAGTCTAAGTTGAATGTTAATCTGTTGGTCGTGATATGCTAAAATATGATCTCAAAATCTCAAACGACTATCATATTTTAGTCAATAGATTAACATTTAGCTTAGATAACCGTCAATTTTTTTATTGAAAAAGGAAGAGTTTGAAACATATAAATAGTCGGGTGACTATTTTGTAACCTTTATTAGTCGAGGGACTCAACAAAGCAACATCATATAGTCAAAGGATCATTTTGTAACTTCTAATAGTCGGGAGACTCAAAAAAGTAGCGTCCTATAGTTTGGGGATCATTTTTGTACTTTACCCTTAAAATAAATCTTCAAGTTGTTTGTTCAACTCCAGTGATCTCCAAAGTAGAGAAAATCTTCACTTTGGAATGAATTTAAACTTCAGCTCATCTCTAGAGTAGAGTCTGGAATGTGGAGATGTTACAGTGATACTTTACATCTGGCGTAGCACTGTAGCTGCGCTACATAATATATATTTTTTTATTTTCTGATTTTTTATTTTTGTTATTTTTTTTTACTTTCTTTTGTTATTTTCTTTTTCTTTTCCTTTTCTTTGTTACATTATTTTCTTTTATTCTATCTTTTATGTTTTTTATTGTAATTTCTACACAATAAAATAAAAATTATACATAATATAATAAATTCAAATAGATTAAATTGCAAGATAGAAAAAATACATTGAAATTAGATAAATAAATATACTAATAGTTAAATTTTGTGAATAAAGTAGAGTTGGTGGTAATGTAGAGATAGTGTTGAAGATGAATTACTGTTTCATCTTTAGAGTAGAGATAGAGATGCTGTAGAGTAGAGATGAGGGCTGGAGATGGCCTAAACATGTTTTTATTTTTTTATAGGAGGAACAATAGTATATTTCATACATAAAATGAGGGCTAAATGCTTTCATTGGTCTCTGTACTGTATATAAGTTATAGATTTAGTTCACGAAATATAATTTGATCATTTTTAGTTTTTATATCATGTAAAAATTATGAATTTAATCCATATATTCTAATTTGTTTACTTTTAGTACTTGTTCTTTTCAAAATTTGAAATTTGGACCTAACTCAAATAATAATGGTTAAAATAATTCAAATTTTGGTTTTAGTTCCTATAATATGTGCATGTTGTAGATTTAATTCATGTTGTCAATTTAATCATTTTAAGCTCTTATAATTCAATATTTTTCTCATGTATTATTTGGGACATAACTAAAATTTTAAATGTATAAGGATTAAAATTAATTAAATTAGAGTTTATGGACTAAATTAAAATATATGGACTAAATTCACATGAACTAATAGCAGAATTTTACGTCTCTTTTTCACGGGATTGTGGCATCACTTTAAAACGGGGAAAGGACTCGGTACAGTTTGACTTTTGAGAATGAATTTTATTGACTTCGGGAAATTATTAGTTTTCAACTAAATATAATAATATATAAAAAAATTAATCATCTATAATATTATTTTTACATTTATGAATGAATTATTATTTGATAGATTGATGGTCGATTTTTTTAATTTTACAAATAGACCAAGAGAATACCAAATATCTTTATATACTATTTTAAAAAATAAAAAGACTTCAATGTTAAGAGAATGTTATTTTTCTCTTTAACTTTTAAAAAAGAAGAGCTAATTTTATTTAAAATTAGAAAATATTTAAAATTATAATAAATATTTACAATAAAACTCATAAACTAAACACTTAATTGGGATATTCTCCTAAAATCATTAAGAAACTAGCTATACAAAGAAAATGTGAAAACTCATATAGAATAACTCGAACAAAAAATAGATACAAACAAATCTGAATGCTACGGAAAACGAGTCACAATAACAGATTAAACTACTGAAAGACTACCGATAAAATGTAAATCAGAGCCAAACATCATGAGATAACTATCTACGATTACAAGTTGCATATCCAAATCCAATTAGACGGCCCAAAGCTGGAAAGATCAAAGAGATAACAAATAGACTCATCTTGATCAGTTGTGGCATCGTCAAATCCAATCATGAGAAAAATAAATGAAAAACGATCAAAAAAATAAATAAAAAACATGCCACAAGGCAGAAAAAAGCATATTATAAAAGAAGATAAAATCGTGTCATAAAATCATAGTTATTAAAATAGAAGAAATAAAGGTATGAGATAAAAGGAAATATCGTGACGACAATCAGTACTAAGATTGGTGTCGCTGCCTGTTAATATTTTCTTTAACTTTGATTTCTCTTGTTTTAGTTTAGTTCCTCAATTTATCGAATTAGATTAAAATTAATATTTTATTGATAGAATGTATAAATAAAGGGAATTAAATTCATAATTCGGTCTAACAGGTCTTGAACAAAACACGACAACAAACAAGATAACTGATGATGATGATCAGTACAGTAAGCTAAGCTCCATTTTGTGTTCCCATTGCCTTCTTTTCATTCCACTGTTTTAACATTTAAGATTCAAGCAAACAAAGAAAGTTAAACATGGCAGACAGAAAATCAGAAGCAGAATTTCGACAACATAGTAAAAGAAAAGTTAAATTCAAGTGCTAAAAGAGAAATAATAATACCATTTAGTTGGTAGGACTGAAAAAAACAAAAGAAAATTGTAACATTTAATATCATTTCCTTCTTGCTTGTTTAATTGGTTCATAGTTTGTTTCCAATACATGGCTGGTGTTCTAACTATAATCTTCAGCTTTCATTGCCTGCTTCTTCATATCGATCTCTGTTCTTTGCATCCGTTGTGCGCAAACTTCAGTAGGTTTCTTATCTTCTATTTTTCCATTGAAAGAGCTGTTATACTATATTTCCTTGTGACAATCGAATCGAATTCCAATGATCTTTCTTTGTCGAAACAGGAGCACCGTTTACGTCTAAGACCCTTCTTTCCTTTTGTTAGTACAATGGAAGTGTTTGTTGTAATTCTACTGAGGATCTGCAAATTAGGAATCAATTCAAGTCAATGAATGTATCTGCTGCCGGTTGTGCTTCAGTACTTAAATCTATACTCTGCTCGGTAAGGCTTCCATTCAAGTCTTTGTAGTCGATGATAACATGAAATAGCCTAAACGTTCATAGATGTTTGCAGAGATGTGACCAATATTCATCGGAGATCTACCTAATCGAATATGAGCCAAGAGCAGTTCCTTTTCTTTGCAACTCTTCTATTTCAGCAGGTTCAAGCCAATCCCAACATGCCAAGATTGATTACTGTTCGGAAGTTTGGGATAAATGCCACAATGTATCAGTCACAAGTTCTCCTTTTGCACAGATTAGTTCGACTTCTATGTTAACTGAAAATCTTAGTCCTCCAATGATCTATGGTGGTCTAAGGGTTCTTTTTTTGATGAATTTGGTGGTGCTTCTGATGATGGGGCAACATGTTTTAATGGAGGTCTGGTATTGCTAAACAGTTCTGAAAATCTTAGTCCTCCAAGTGGTATTTGTCTTGAGAAAATAGGGAATGGAACCTACCTTAACATGGTGGCTCATCCCGACGGCTCGAACGGTGTCTTTTTGTCTAACCAAGACGGAAAACTTTGGTTGGCAACTGTTCCTGAGCAAGGATCAGGGAAACATTAGGCATTGATGAATCAAATCTTTTTTCTAGATTTAACTGATGAAGTACATTCTAATGGTGCACTTGGATTGATGGGAATGATATTTCATCCCAACTTTCGACAGAACGGACGATTCTTTGCTTCGTTTAACTGCGACAAGGTTCAATGGCAGACTGTCCAGGGAGATGCTCATGCAACACTGATATAGGATGTGATCCTTCAAAATTAAGCTCCGATAATGGTGCTCAACCATGACAATATCATAGTGTTATACCTGACTTCACAACCAATGGTACCACTTCGAATCTTTCCTCGGTAAGTAATCGAACCAGACCGGTAGAAGTCAGAAGAATACTTACAATGGGACTGCCATTCACCACCCACCACGGTGGTCAGATTCTATTCGTACCGAAAGACGGATATTTGTATTTATCATGGGAGATGAGGGAGGCAGTTCCCTTACAACTTCTCACAAAACAAGAGATCTTTGCTTGGAAAGATTACGAGGCTTTCACATAGGGTAGAAACTCATTTCGTCCGGGGCTTATTTATTATATATATTAATATAGTATAGTTTTTGAAAATATTTTTTAAAAAATATAATATATAGATTTTAGAAAACGGTTTTTGAAAATATATAATATATACTTTTAAGAAAATCGGTATAGTTTTGAAAACAATTTTTGAAAAATATATTATATAGTTTTGAAAACGGTTTTTGAAAATATATATATTATATAGTTTTAAAAACAATTTTTGAAAATATATATATTATATAGTTTTGAAAATGATTTTTGAATATATATATATTATATAGTTTTGAAAACAATTTTTGAAAATATATATTATATAGTTTTGAAAACGATTTTTAAAAAATATATTATATAGTTTTGAAAATCAGCTTTTGGAAACAATATATTATATAGTTTGAAAAATAATTTTTGAAAAAATATATATTATATAGTTTTAATTTTTTTTGAAAACATATTA